TATTTATACTGGGACTCCTGTATGCAATTACAAGTAATCCATAATAATATTTTAAATTTTGAAATCATAGTTATTTTTGGCATATGAATTTTTTAAAATGTTTCTAAATCTTTGATTGTCTTTCAATCATTCCGCCTCACCTGCTATCCTCTTCTGCCACACCATTTGGGAGCCATTGCTTTATGATCTTGTAACGGGAATCAGTTGTTTTTAACAGAATTAGGTTACCAGTTTGTTTAAGAGAAATATTTTATTATGTTGGAGGGAGATATTAATTTATGAGATAAGTTGTAGAGGTAATATTATTGTGATTGCATGAGATTTTTATTTTTAAACAGGAAATGGTGTAGTAATAGTGCTGTGTTGTATACATTATGGTACATGGTTCATGGACTAAGGAAGAAGAAATGAGAATGTCACTACGGCATCCTGTGGGTAAAGAGAGAGAGGTTTGTGCCCGTTTTCTTTTATACTGCTTTATTAGAAACATTAATGACAAAGTGGGAAACATTGTGCGACGCGTTTAGTTCCTTAGGACGTCATTGAACTAAAGTGATGGTTCCATTGATATAACTACACATGTACACGAAAAGAGGGGGATGCTGAAAATTTAAATATTAAATTTAATTTTTTTATTTAAATGTGTTTGGGGATATCGTCAAGACAATTTTGTTTAGTTTCTGTTCCACTGGGCTTAGGGTGAAAAGATAAACTATGAGACTGGCTGCTGAAAAGTTAAAACAGCACAAAGATGACATGAGACATGCTAAACTCAACAACTGTTTTATTCAAATTACTGCTCGATCCGTTTTGCTCCCAGCATTCCCTAGTGGAACAGAAAGTGCTTACAAATCCTCATCAACATCATCATCGTTGTTATAGAAGAGTTTCTTTTTGTTTTTTTTATGTTTTTATCACTTTGTCATTAATTTTCCTAACATTGTTCTGATAGGCAAAAATTTATATATCTTCTCCTGTACGGCTTTATACAATGCCACCTAACGCGCACTATGAAAAGTTCCCTGGAAGACCAGGAAGGATAGTCCCACACTCTTGACATCTCCCATTGGTTGTAGAAGATAAATAATGCCTCACCGTGGAGGCAAAATTTAGCAAATTCGTATCACAAACCATGTGAATTTGACTTTCACTGGGTGTTTCATACTGGTGGCCTTATGATGTGTAAGAAAGAAAGAAAGAAAGAAAGAAAGAAAGAAAGAAAGAAAGAAAGAAAACCTGAATTTTTATTTTTAAGTGAGCGGACAGTGTTTAACTTCCATTCATCCCCCTTCCTTGGCCCAAAGCAGGTGGGTGTCATTAGCCTTCTTTGCATAATCGCTCTTTAGTGGTATCATCTATAATTGCTGAAATCTGTGTTTTCGTTTTTACAGATATTTGCAATTTGAACAACTTCAGGTGGCTCAGTTTTGAATTCAGAATTGTCCTTCCACTAGACTGATTGCAAACCATGGCTCAAGAGATCAGTCTCTCCTAATATTTAACCTATACATAGGGGGTTATTTTTTCAGAAGTGAATGTAATGAACTTAACCGGAATTTGAATTTGGCTCCTTATTAAAGTGCTTATTAACGACATCCAGACAATATCATAATATAGTCCTTCCTCTCTTCTGTTAAAAAAAAAGAAAGGGGGAGATGAGCAATTGAGAGAGAGTGGGAGATTGTGTGAGAATGAGTGAGTGAGAGAGGGAGAATTTTTATGTATGATTATGAAAAAGATTACCTAAATTTAAATAGATTGGTCCAGTCATAAAATATAAGGAGACATTTTGGTGGGGAGGGGAATAATATTTGTAGCTTAGCATTCTCTAGCTAGAACTTCCTTAAGCCAAGACACTTGTCAGAACCCCAAAATATTGATTGTTTTTATCATTTTAGAAAGGGGATTTTGTTAATTGATAAAATAAAACCGATCCCTGACTTTTACAGAGTTAATGGTGTAAGTTATTTGCAATATGTCAACTTCAAAAGTGTTGTAACATCATTGATATCTGCATGTTTTTTTTTAACTTTTTAATTTACTGAATTTTTTAGCATTTAAAAAAATCAACTCTTTTTTTTTTCAAAAGCATAGCACAAACATTTTTGCTTAATAATTATTTATCTTAAATGAATAATAAATGGATAGATACTTTTATTAATTTATATCAATTTTTATTCATTAATTAAAAGTGCATATATTCGTTTGTTCTTTTTGTATCCACCCCCAAATTCTGTTTTCATATGTCAAACAAACTAGCACCAATAACTCTAAAAGTCAGAGATCGGTTTAACACTGTAGCACCACATACTCCTCTTTAAGTGATGCCAAATCCACTGAAAGCCATAAAGATTAACCATAGTAGGTATTTTTACCAGAGCACCCATGTTGCTACCAGGTGTGACACAAGGCCATGGTTTAATGGCAATACCATGGAAAATTGCCTAAACCAACTCAGCACTTCCTCTTTTGGGGGACACCTCAGGTGCTGGCCAATGAACTCAACTCCTTCCTGAAGGAGAGGTTCTTTCCAATGGGGAATCCCCCTTGGGGATTGGGCTTAATATTTTTTTAAATTTCTCCAACATGTACCAGGTAACCATAGTAGATTTTGTTCTGAACACGTTTTGATATGTAAGCTCTGTTTTCTAGGCTTTTGAAATCACTAATTTTAAATGTTTGTTCTCTAGATGTATTTCCCCCTTTTAATGAGTTTTGTAATTTTATTATTATTATTCCCTTTGATTTCTGTTGTATACAAGTTTCCTTCCGGGTTTCAACCAGAGATCTAAGGTCAGAAGTAGCTTCATGACATATTCCATTGAACAGTTTTATAAAAAAAATATAAAAATAACCTTAAGATTACACACATTTTACATAGATTTTTCATAGCTCTTTGTAATGTGAGCTATACTTGTGAGTACAATTTTTTATATTTCTTTAAGGCACAGGCTACCAGGAATCCCCTAAATGAGTCTATCGGAATATTTTCAAATCAATTCGAGGACTCCAAATACAACTGGAATTATTGATGTCCTCATACTATTATTATGCCATCCAATTAAAGTTTACCTGCTGCAATTGTACTTTAGTTAACTTTTTAATTTTAGATTCATTTTAAAATATTTGTCCACAGATAGCTGCATTTATTGTATTTGCAATCTTACTGGTCATTTCAGTGACTGACAAATCTGTTAAAGAGTCTCTTTTGTGTATCTACCTTAAAATAAGTGCTGGGAAAATCTCTGCTATGACAAGAGTAAATTAATTTTTTGCTCAAGTTTTAACTGATAGGAGATATCACAACTTATATTAAGTTAAAACTTAATAAATTAATGAGCTGACCGATTCCTAAGCTCCATACTAAAATATATATATTTGAAGTTAATCCCACACCTGGGACCCTACCACTCTCTCATTGTTCTTTATTATAATCTGTTTCAATTTATATCTCTTTCTGATTTACTCTACATGTAGGCAAAAACAAAAATTTTTAAAAATTGTCCTTTGCACAGGGGAAAGCTCTCAACATCACCACTAGTAACCTCAGTCAACTGACCCAACACACAGATCAACTCCAGGCCATACCAACTCTACCCTTCCTCCAAGCTGCTTCCCTTCCCCACAAAGAGACATCTGATCACATCCTCTGTATCGGCAATACAAAGAATCATATATTAAAAATGCTAGTCTGCTTTTCTTTTTGCTTCACCAGTAGTACCTTTTGTTTCATTTGTTCTCTCATGCCACCATACATGTGTTTATAACATTCATTTTATCTTTCAATTGATCCTTATTTTCTTATATGCATCTTGACTGTTAGTAAGGAGGCTGAACTCTCTGGTAACACTTAACGAGGCTGCTCTGATTACCAGTCGCACTATATCAGGGTTCTTGCAGTACCATGTTGTGCATGGATACATCTCCCTGCAAGTACTTCTTCTGAGCAACTCTGAGGCAACAGACACATTACATGCTGTAATCTGCAACACCTTCCATTCATTTCTTCCTGCCTTAGACTATCTGCAGCAACTATTACTCTTGGCCACTTCTAACTTAATGACCAATACAACAAAACAAAATTAAACTAACTCAATTTCAATAGGAGTAGATAGGTTTGCCTATCACCCAGTTCACATTCCTCCATGAACTTTTGAACAGGAGTACATGTTTATCTCTTGTTTCCTGTTTCTCAATGGGTTTCCAGTTCTTTCTAAAGTCTACTTCAATTCTATACTTGTCACTTCCACCTAAACTAAAATTTTATTTACTATTTAGTTTTATTTTTCCCTTCAACAGGAATAAATGTGTTCGCCTATCATTTAGTTCACACCTGAAGTGGATATTTTGAACAGGTGTAGAGGTTGATTCTTTATTTCCTGTTTAGGATTGGGTTTCTGGTTCCTTTTAAAGTCTTCTCATACTCTTTCACTCCCAGTAGCTCCTTTTGTTTTAGTTGCATTATCACCTTGCTTGGGGGTGAATTTATTTTAAAAAAAATGAAATGGATAAACCTTCCTTCTAAATCAACAATAAAGATTAATATTTTTTTTATTCTTACAAATGCCATGGCCTAAGAAATGTCTAAAGAATGCTTAACTACAAAAATAATTTTCCCTATTATTACAAGGGCCTTTTTTTAAATCTTGATAAAACTGTACAACATGTTTTTTCTGCTTTGAATTTTTCCTGGCACGATCCAGAGAAAAAAAATGTGTTTGTTTGATGCAAATAATTAGTTCTTCCAATCTATCACCTGCTACTCTTTTCCTCCCCAACTTTAAGGACTGATTAATTCCTCTGTTCCACCTTGCTACACAAGTGCGCTGGGTAATTATTGCAGCTCAGCGTATCCCATAGGTGTTTATCTGAATGAAAAGCAGAGTGGGTATCTAGTTTTATGCTTTCTGCATGTGACAGTATCAGTCAGGACACATTGTTGATTATTTGCTGTGCTCTGCTAACTAACGACTACTATTTTCTCCCCTTTTTTAAGGGTGATGTTTGTACTTAACTTTTTTCTCTTCTTTCCTGTACCAGAACCCTTCTCTATTCTTTTTTTCATGTTCCTTTTCTCCCTTTTTTATCCGTACTCTTTGTTTTTGCTCTTGCTCTCTTTTTTCCCAGTTTTACAATGTACTGTTATCTCTTTTCTCAGCGCACTTTTCCTTTCTTTTTTATTTTTATCCCTTCATTTACTCTTCCTCTTCTCAGTGTTCTATTTTTTATTTACACTGATATTCACCCTGTACAAGAGCCAAGAACCACTCTAGGTAGAGTGGTGATTTTCCAAGCGTAGCTTAGATGTGGCACAAGGCCGAAATTAGGGGGCACCCAGTGAGAATCAAACTCACTACTCAGTCGTAACTGTTCTAGCGAGACAAGCTTGCTTACTGTTACACCACCTCGAGGTGCCCCACTCTAGGTGCCCCACTCTAGGTAGAGTGTGACAGCATAAGAGCACAGTTTATGGGGATATGTTAGGAAGATAATGAGGAGGCTGATGGGTCTATACCATGAAGGAGATGAGTGCTCACCCTCATTTTTTGAAAAAAGGACATACACTTGATACCTTCCACAGACTTAAGAAGAATTTCTCCCTTAGGCAGTGGTTAAATAATATCACTGATCTCAGCGATAACTCCAAATATTCTTAAGGATGACCACTGAGTTTTTATCTGCACCAGTAACTTTCTTAAGGTCAAGACTTTCGATAAGTCTGGAGACTTCCAGGGCTGTAATAAAAATATTACCGAGATTCTGCTCAGCGAGACGGAGGAAGTCTGAAAGGGGATGACATTTGTTATCTAACATTGATAACATTGGCAAAGATCAAGACAAAAAGCTTCACCTTATCTGATGAGGATGAGATTGTAGTGAGTGCAAAATAATAATAACTCCCTTCACCCACTCCCTTCAAGTTCAGAGGACTGACAAAGAAGAAGAAAAGAAATTTGTGAGTCTATGTGAGATTTTCTTACCAATGAAAACTTTGCCTTAACAGAAATTAGCTAGTCAGCCAAGAAGAAGGAAAGAAAGTAGAGAGCCTATGTGAAATTCTTTTTGGTATAAAATGAGGAGAAAAATTAATAAGAAGAGTGTCTGAAGTCATGTGAAAGCTTTTGTTTCAGTTTGGGACCAGTGCTGAAGTAATTGCAAGAGTAAAATTACTCGCCAATTATATTATCAGCCTCTAACTGGCAAGTAGCTCTTTAAAGAATTTTATCTCGACAATCCAAGAAACCTAAGTATTTCAAACTATCTCTCTTCATCTACTTTTGGACATATGCAAACCATATATCTCTTCGGTGAGCAACAAACTCTCTTACATTTTTCGTAAACATATTTTAATATTATTTTGTGTCAGATCATTTAATCTGTTGTATGAATATTTCCTCTTCATGATAATACTTTAAAACTATGGACTTTAAGAATTCTGATTTATTTTCCTGAAACAAGCTATTGACAACTTCAAGCATGTGAATTTGTGAATAAATTCCTTAACTTGTTTTGTTAAAATTATCTGTGTTTTCTTGTCATTATAATCTTTCATTAATCTTCTTGGCATGGCTAAATCAACTGTCCATTTTAATCCATAAGCTCCATGCCAATAGAAGATGACCTCGGAACCATTTATAATAGTAGGCACTGACGCTTTGTCTCTATTCAAAATTTGTTTGGAGATCTTCCAGAATTTCTGGGATCCGATTTGTTTGCTTTCAACCTTAGCCTGGTATGCTTATTCATAACTAAACATATTACTTATACATATAGATACATACATGCATATATATATATAATTATTATTATTATTATTACTTCAAATGTTTTTTTTTTTTGTGGATACCAAATCGAGCTTCTAATCAAATACAGGTATCTACTAAAAATAACATTTGAAGTAATAAAAATATTAAAAATATGTTGAATTCAAAAATAAAATCCATTAGTTCTTTAGAAATTGCTTTGTTTACATTTTGGATATAAAACTGAGCAGATATGCATTTCAAGAAAAATCTGAATGCGTCAATGTGCTTTAAATGCAAAATAGAACCTTGGTTGTTTGTTAAGCTCTTCATAGCCAAGTGGTAAAAGCACTCAAGAAACAGTGCTTCATCCTGCAAAGGAGGACACAGGTTCAAATCCTACAGGAGGGCACATTTTCTTTATTAAGGCTGATAGATGAAATAAATATTGTTTAAAATAAATGGAGTGCCTATTCAAATACAGGTATTCACTAAAATAACATTTGAAGTAATAAAAATATGTTGGATGCAAAAATAAATTTCATAAATTCTTTAGAAATATATATATGAAGACTGATCAAAAAGTATCCACATTGTTGCTATAGTAACAGAGCTAAAGTACACAGAGTGAAGCTGCTTGGCATAGATTGACTTTGAATTCTGTTGCATATGCACACTAAGTTATAATGTTCTTGCTCACTTCCATTGTTTATAGCAGTGCTCAAAAGGAAAGTGTGTAGAGTGTGGTTTGTATCACCACACCACAGAGGTTCCATGAGTGACCATGGCTAGTGCAGCAGTTTTTGATCTAGTACAACATTCCTCAGGTCCAACAATCAATATATTCCCAGATCTTACTCCTTGTGATTTCCTCTTTGCAAAAAAACAAATGTCACCTGAAAGGAACAAGATTTGAAGACATTGAGCAAATCCAAGAGAATGCGACAAGGCAGCTGCTTGCTTTCCCAAAAAAGGAGTTCCAGAAATGCTCCTATCAATGGATAAAGTGTGTGGTTTTGAAAAGGGACTACTTCAAAGGAAATTAAATGCTGAATTGATATATATATAAAAATATATATATATATATATATATATATATATATAGTTTTCTTTTATAGCACCAGTATGGATACTTTTCAAACAAACCTCATTATATATATATATATATATATATATATATATATCCACAGACAGACTGTTTCGCGGTATCACAGATATATATATATATATAAAATTGTATATCTGGGCAGAAATCCCTCTTTTATACAAGTTTCATTAAATATTACTGACAAGATACTGCAATTAAGCTTTTTATTTAATTTTTGTTGGGTTTGTATAAGTGTTTTTCTTTTCTGTACATAAAGTGTTTAAAAATTGTCCAAATGTTCTATATACCCGATCACTTTCAGCTATTCTATTAGCCATTATCAAGGTTGTTTTTTTTATTTTTAACTGAATGTGTAGATTTTTTATATGTTTCTAGAGTAATGGGAATGTTTAATTATTTTCCAAATATGGTCAGCACATTATAGTCATGTTCATAATGAATCTTATTGAGTGTTGACGTTTTCAGTTTTATTTTTAGCGCTTCTATTATTGTTACTCTTTTTTTATACAAGTGGATGAGGCTTTTATACTTGTATTTTCTACTAGTATGTTGCAGATGGAGTTTGGTAGGTTTCTGTGTGTGTTTACATATATATTTTTATAATATCAATATACATTACATAACAGAAAAATACATCATAAGGAATTGCCAAAGTGAGTCATCAGCGGTGTGCTCTGGTTTCATTGTGAAGTTTGTGTTTTGAACATCATACTCACTCCACCAGTAACTAACCCCTGACCTGCTTCTGAAAATAATCAGCTCTTTCCTTGATCATGGTATTAGGAAAGTCTTGTTCAATGCAACAGTTAATTTGAAGAGTTGTGCTGTACTGTACCAGCCAATCAAGTCATTCCATGTGCGCTCACTCATTCATATTTATTTATTTTCGTCTACCAGCCAGAAAGTTCAAGAAATCTTATTAAAGAAAAAATTTCCGCTCTCTGCCAGTATCCACTAAAAATAATAAAGTGATAAAAATTTGTCAGATTTATAAAAAATCCATTATATATATATATATATATATATATATATATATATAGATAGATAGATAGATAGATAGATATATACACACACATACCCAAGTTCTGTAGACTCCCTGAAGAATAAGGGGCCACAGCTAATGTGGTTTCCATAGCAAATAATGTTTTACAGGAGGGAATTGCTAGCCCATTTCAGAGTTGTCTTTCTCATAGACTGGTTACCAACCATGGCTAAAAGTCCTAGTCTGCCCTTCTATTTAACTCATAACTTGGAGGGGAGAGATGGATTCATACCTTTCCCAAGAGTATTTGCACATAAGTAAATGCAATGAAGTTGACAGATTTTAACTCGGCTCTCTGATTTCTCATTCCAAACTGCCATCCATTACATGCCCCCCATATATATATATATATATATATATATATATTACAATAAACGTGCAATCAATTTACAAATACATGAATTATTCACACAAAACTAATGCAAAGGTTAATGATTTTAAATGGCGAGACATCCATCTCGCAAACAATTCAAATGTTTATTGTTCAATAAAGTTCATGCCACTTTGACAGTAAAATTTACCAGTAAAATAATTTGTTCATTACCATATTTGGTATAAACGCAAACATTTTTAAAAAAAGAAATTCAAAAATCAAACTTAGCGTTGCTTTGGCGCGTTCAAAAACCAATATCTCATTTTCAATAGCATTTCGGATACAATACACATATATTTTCGATGTCCTCTTATTACTAAGAGAAAAAAACAAGAACAACATCTATTATATACCTGAAGATGTCTGTATGAACAGACGAAAGCTTGTGTAAAAATAACAACTAATACGGCAGAAATTTATATGAACAAGGATCAATTCATTCATAACGGATCTAAGGTTTTTGTGTAATATTTGAATTGTTTTGTAGATGGATGTCTCGCCATTTAAAATCATTAACCTTTTGCATTAGTTTTTGTGAATAATTCATGCATATATATATATATATATATATATATATATATATATAATATAAAGGCTCAAACACTAATATTCCATTGTTATAATTTATTACATTGTAATCGTAATCACAATTCAATTCATCAGACCTACAAATTAAAAAGCTTTTTGAATTTGTAGGTCTGATGAATTGGATCATGATTACGATTCCAATGTAATAAATTATAATCATGGAATATTAGTGTTTGAGACTTTTATATTATATTCTTACTCTGTCCTGGACAGAGTTCTTCTACCTGGATTCTATCCTCTTGGGAATTTATATATATATATATATATATATATTGACCAATAATATTCTCAATATATATATATATATATATATATATATATATATATAAACTTATTGTACTTGGATCATGAGTTAAATAGCAGGGTAAACTGAGCTCTCCAGCCTTGGATAGCAGCCAGCCTAAAAATAAGACAACTAGGTATTCAAAGCCATGGGAAGGCAATGAGAATCTACTCCACTATCTTTCCAAAGACATCACGACAATTACCATATAATGGTAATTCCTATAATAAAGAAAAGCAATCTGTAGAAAGCCATGATCACCAATGTGCTGAGGAGACATGGCATTTAAAAAAAATTAAACATCCTTTTTGGGACAAAAAAAAATACCAGAGAGAAACTTGCAAATGGTTAACCCAAAGAAACTACCATATTTGACAGCATATATGGTGCACTTTTTTTTTTACTAAAAATATTTTTTTAAATTCCTCTGCATCTTATATGCTATATGTAGGTTTACTAATTTTACTAATTACTAATTTTTTCTTGATTTGCCCTGCTGAAATTGGGGTGCATCTTATATGTCATCAAATACAGTAAATAATATTTATTTTATTAATAGAGAAATTTAGAAAATTTGTGCAACTGCTCTAAGTGAAATCATAAATACTGATGGTATGAGATATGTCTTTAACTTGGCTAAAGGCCGGTTTACATCTTAAATAAGACCTTGAGGTCAACTGTTGCTAATAATAAGTACTCTGACCTCTCTGAGTAAAATAACTTTTGGCTGTTTCTTAACAAGTACTGATTGACTGGCAACCAGCCAATGACCTTTTTTAAAAAGAGGCATATGACTTGTGTGTGTGTGTGTGTGTGTGTGTGTGTGTGTGTGTGTGTGTATAATTAGGATTATTGATAGATTTTCACTTTTCAATTCACAACAGCACTCCAGAATTATTTTTAAACACTGGATATCAGTTTTCTAATACTGATTAAAACCAAAATTTTTCACCTTTTATGGCATAAAAATACATTATTAAAACATTCTGACCTGTCATCTGAGTTACAAAAGTGTCATTTGATTAGAATTGATTTTTTTTTTTAGCGGAGAAAAAAATAATTGGAGAATCCAAAATGTCATTTTTGAGAAGGAAAGTATCAATGATTTTCTCAACTGTGTCCCTTCGATACATTTTTTAATCATTTCACCCCAAGCAAGGCAAAAAAAAAAAAAAAAGCCACAAGGGGTTACTGAATGTGAAAGAACATATTAATTGATTAATTTTCCATGGTTTATCAACCTTTTGCAAGTTATTTAAAGCCAGAAAATATTTTTAGATTCTAAAAATTTTTATTTAGAGATAAAGATTTAGTGATACAAGTCTTACTAATTAACCCATAGCTGGAGGAAAAGAGATGGATTCATACCTTTTCCCAAGAATATTTGCATATAACGAACTCAATGGGAATTGGAATTTAGTTATGGAATTAACAATTCTGAACCATTATCCATTATATCACCTGCACATCCAAGCACCTGGTATTCCCAAGTGGTCACCCATCTAGATATTGACCAAGCTTGGTGTTGCTTAACTTTGGTGATCATATGGGAACCTGTGTTTCAATGTGATGTGGCCTTAAGCCTTGAAAGAATATAAGATAAAGAAAAACACTATTAAGTAGCAAGAACAATAAAAGAAGAGGAATTAAGACAGTAGATAATGATTGACATTGCATTTAAATTTTTGAACTGGAAAGCAAGAAACCAGAAGATAGTTCTACAAGCGAGAAGCACAAAAGAAAAAACTGTTAGCATAGAACTTACTATTACATCTAGCCATTTCAACTGTAAAATGATGAGACCTTGTTTCCAGTCTAGTAATGCACTTAAATTCATAAAGTCTAGGTACCATAGAGAAAAGTTCATTCGAACAATTACCATGAAAATACTTATAGAAAAGGAACAGGGAAGCGATATTACAGCAATGGGCAAGTGACTGAAGCTGAAATGCCAGGACAGAACCAATAACATTGCAGATTCTTCTTTAGGTAGACTTGGTAACAGGAATGAAAGCTCACAAGAACAGATCCAGTTCCAGAGCCATCTCACTCCTTACAAGAACCCTCCCCCAATTGACCATGTCTTCAGGAGTATAACCATACTCCCAGCACTTGTCCAATTGTGGGTTGGTGAGGCAATTTAACCCATAGTTGGAGATTTTGAATTCAGGGTTGTCTTCCAGTGTTATAGGACCCAGTCTGTCCTGCTATTTTACCCATAGCTCGAGGGAGAAGAAGAGATCAATTCATACCTTTCACAAGGGTATTTGCATGTAAGTGAATGTAACGCTGTTGACTGAAATTCGAACTTGGCTCTCCGATTCCTCAATCTGAGCTGCTTATCCATTGCACCACTGTACCTCCTTAGATTTGGGTGGTTACCAAGATGCAATTTTCATCAGGTCACTACCATTAAATCATCAGGTCACTACCATTAAATCATCAGGTCACTACCATTAAATCATCAGGTCACTACCATTAAATCTCAATAATGTAATAAGAATTGTAAAAATACTTGAGGAAAGCTGGTCTTATATGAACAGTATTTCAATCTCCCAAAGAAAACTAGAGATTTTTTTAACTGTTTTACTATTCTTACATATCCTATCTTGCAATGTCATTATTGGAGCAAAAATAGGGATTGACATGCTAAGTTGAAATTCCAGCCAAGTCATCATGTTTACTTTTGAAAAAATAAGAAAGATATTAATTCATCACTTCCTCCAACAGCTATAGGTTAAATAGCAGGGAAGACTGCTCTCTAGTCTTTTTTGACAACCAGGTTAGAAGAAGGATAACTTTAAATACAAAACTGGTTGAGTGTGGGGGTTGGTAATTCTACTCTGTAAAAAGTCTACTTGTTACAAAAACCACAACAGCAACACATGGTGAGGCTATAACTCCACATGTAGTAAGAAGGATTCATCTTTCTCTCTCTCTTATATAACTCCACATGTAGTAAATAGGATTCATCTTTCTCTCTCTCTCTCTTATATAACTCCACATGTAGTAAGAAGGATTCATCTCTCTCTCTCTCTTATATATCATCAATTTCTACAATAAATGTTGCAACCAAAGTATAATCACAGTTTTCAAAATTTTTTTTTCATATTATAGATTTAGTAATCCAAATCATGAATATCTAAAAGATATGTTTTTATTAAATTTTATAAAATTTAATTTTATCTTTTTGCTTTAATTTTTTTTTTTAAATTCTTAATCTGGAGCAAGTAATCAATATATGAAACAAAATCCAGAATATGAATTTTTTAATTTTCTTTTTAAGCAATCACATTGTATGAATATATTTTGTTTTGACTTTCCTATGATGATCAATTTATAATAAAGTTACGTTGCAAACTTGACTTTTATAACTTTTAACTTTTATGAAATTTAATCAATTTTTTTTTTTATGAGGGTGATATTCGTGATCAGGCACACTTCATCTACAGTAATAAAAAAATTCAGAAAAATGGTTACATTTTTGTACCTATTGTACAACTCCACCATTAAGTGGTAGTTTATATGGGTAAGAGAAGATAATGCTTGACTTGAACAGGTTAAGATTGTAGTGATCAGAGAAAAATCCACTTGGGAACTTGTTCCATAGGGCAGTAGTTCACAGGAAGAAGCTATTTGAGTGGAACTTACTTCTCACCGATAGAATACTGTGTGAATATGAGTGGTTTGCTACTATGTAAGTGGCATGGTGGGTCCTAGCTGTGAATTTTGACCTGATGGAACCAGGAAATGTAGTTTTCCATGGTAGTAGCAATAGAGCAGTGAGAGACTTGCTACATCCTGTCTGCGAGAGAGAGTTTGGAGTGTGGAAAGCAATTCTTCTCCAATAAGAACTCGGAGATGCTTTTGAATTCTTGATAGAATTCTCCATCTTTATAAGAGCCGGATATGGAGTACTGTTGCCATATTTGGGCAGGAGCTGTACAGACCTCACTTTCCAGTCTTGATAGAGGTCTGTACAGCTCCTGCCCAAATATGGCAACAGTACTCCATATCCGTCTCTTATAAAGATAGAGAATATTATGAGGAGTCAGGTACTTACTGGAGTGGTACAAGGAGCCAATAATTTTACCTGCATCTTTAGTGAGGGATCATATATAGGAGTTCCATTGAGGTCAGGTGTGAGTTTGAGGTCTACTATCCTCTCAAGACATGGAGCCTCCTCCAGGAGACATCCATTCATTGTGACTGGTGGTAGTCTGGGGTCTGATTGGTGGTAATGGAATGTAATCAGTTTGGTTTTAGAGGCACTGAATGTAACCAAACAGTTTTTCCCCCACTGGGAAGTTAGTGTTAGATTGGAAGAGAGATCATCTGCCAATCTCTGTCAAGAGTTTTAGAGTTGAGCCCATATATCACCATATCATTGGCATAGATGTTTACAATTAATTGAAATATATTCTTAGGCAGATCATTTATATAAAACAGGAAGAGGGTTGGTCCAAGTAGGGACAACAGCATTGACCACCAGGGCCTATATATATATATATATATATATATGCAGAGTGCGATGGGTAAATTGTCGCCATATTATATTTTTAATTTCACATATGTATGTTGTTTGCTATTGATTTTGATGACTGCACAGTATAGTAGGATCAGTTGGGCATTGTCTATGAGAAAAAAGAACCATAACACAATTCACTTCGCCAAAAATTGGGAAATGGCATGCTGTATTGCTTGACGTTTGCACCAGAAGCTCCGATATGAACGTTTCAGAGTGCTTGGGTGTCAATCTGAGGACAGTGCAGAAGATTCAGAAAGATTTGGATGAGTCTTGTGGTGATTACAAAGGGCTGGTAGCTTGGAAAACTCATTCTGATAAGAAAAGAACTTCTGAATTTATTGGTGAGGGTCTCAGATTCAACACAGAGGCCTTGAGGAGGTAGTGTTGTACTGGGTCTAGAGGGAGGCTGATGGAAGACCCTATGTCTGGCAACAGGAGACACAAGCAGGAGAACCCAGTTAATCTCTGCAACCACATCACACTTGACCACCTAATGCCTCAGACTGCAACATCCTTGATTATTATGTGTGGGGCACAGTTGATCGAGAGATCAACAAAACTCCTTGTAACACCAAAGATGAACTGAAGGTAAGAATTATGGCAGCATTCACCAACTTAAACAAGGAAACTGTCCAAAAGAGTTGCAAGAGATTCAGAAGTCATCTGGGGGCCATGGTTGAAGCCAAGGGCGATTTTATTGAATAAATTTAACTCTTTAGTATTTCAAGATATTTTTGTGTAATTTTGATAAATATATCTGTTATAATGAGAGGTCAGTGTTATTTTCATTCTTGCGTAATTTAGATGACAATTTATCCATCGCAACCTCTGTGTGTGCACATGTGTGTATGTATATATATATACACACACACACACATATATATATGTATGGTTTATTTAGGAAGCAAATATTTATCCAAACAAGTTTAATTAAAAAAAAATGACAAGGTATGTCAGTTTAATTTCATATTATATTTTTCCAATAAGATGTTGTATATTGGGATCAAAATTGTGGATAAACTGTCAGAACTCCAGGTTTGTGTTGTTGTTTGTTCAAGTTCTTTCGACTGTGACGTCACACTGGTTCTTGAAAGCAACTGATACAATACAGGATTGTCCCACATTTTGATGCTGATGGACATGTTCTCAGTCAATTAATGTGGGACACGTTTTTTCACCTGCATTTTGAGAACCAATGATTCTTTTAATATGATGCATTAATTTTGCTTTTTTTTTTTTTTTTGTTCAAGACAAATTTGTTTTTTTCTGAATGGCTGTGTCAATTTTACTTGATATTTTTTATTTTTTATTCCAGAGAATATGTGAAATTTCTGATCTTGAATGGCTACATACCAATTTGAGAATATATTTAAAAGATGCATCAAAGATATTTTCACTACTGAAAAAAATATTACGTTTTTTATGTTTTTTCTTAAAATGCAGTTTTGTTTCACTCTAAAATTCTCTAATGAAACTGTTACTTTGCACTGACCATATAAAATTCTTGAATGATAATTTGTTCCTGTTACATATGAATTTTTATTGCTCAAAAATATCAAAGTGATTTTATTCAGCTTTGTGTGTCCATGAACTTACTTCTCGTTGAGAACCTGTCACTGAGGGAGTCCATGGGCCCCACGGTTGGGAATTTTTTCACAGAGCCCACGATCCCATCATTGAGAAGCCCTCGCCCCCCCCCCATATTTTAATTTAAGGGAGTTGCTAGATTGAACTCACAATTATACTAAATTCAAGAACCAACACTTTTTTTTAGAATTTAATTATTTTTTTTTATGAATGACTTGGATAGTTTTTTTTTTTGGAAAGTAAAAAAAGGAAATTTTCGAAGGAAGATGTTTTTTTGCCTTTTTCTGACATTGTGGTTTCTTGCGATATCTTGGTCTTATTTATTTTCTAAAAACGATTTTTTTCGTTCTGTTCCATTATAATTTTAATTATTTTTATTTTTTTCACTCAAAAAAAATATTTGCATCCAGAGGCCAGAAAGCAAAAATTAAAAGCTAGTCATAGCTCCATGAATAGGTTACGGACGGATTCAACAACCCAAATAAATATTTCAACATTTTAAATACCAACAGATTTTTTATATCCTTAGATTTGTTATGAAGCCAAAAATAAATTCGCTATATGATTACAACGACAGTTTTTCTTTTTGCAACCGGTCGATCGTTGTTTCATGTAAATAAAACAGTTAGTGCATAGGGTTACTTTACTCACTGTCTTGGATATTTTAAAAAATAACTTTCTGAATAAAATCAATATATTGTGTCAGAAAATCCCACATAGCCTTTGCCATTTTCAATAAATAAAAATAGTTGTATTTTTTTTTTTTTCACTTAAACTGCTATTATAATTACTACTTCTCTTCACCAAAAAATATATTCTCCGAAAAGAGGCAGGAATTGATGATGTCTCATGTTTCTGTGTAAAATCGAACACATAATGTGATGACGTTTACGGCAGCTTCCATCAAGAGGTGTTATGAAGCAAGCGCTAGTCTAAAACCCTTGTTGTACTCGTCTTTTTGGCCGCTCTATGTTTTGCCTCTCTCGACTGGAATTTTTCCCGAATTTGTTCCCACCAGGTAGGTAGTCAACTTCAGGGCTTGTTTGTTAGTTCCCATGATCATTTAAAGATGTTGGTTTCTTTTAAATTCCTTTAGTTAGAAGACACCTTACCTTGAGAGAATGTTTAACCTGTTTCTGTAAAAAACAAAAAAAAAAAGTTTTTTTTTTTTATTGTGTTTTAGAAAAAATATTATTTATTTTAAATCTATTTTAATTTCTAAATCAATTTTTTTAAATTTTATTTTAATCGTCTACCACTGTTTATATCGTTAACACTCTTTTCAGTTTTTTTTTATCCATTTCACTTTGTTTTTATTAGCTAAAAAATATCCTTTAAATTCTATTTAAAAAAATGTAAGGCACGTGTCGTCTGCTGTTTCTTTTTAAGGCTTTTCTTATATATATTTTTATATTTATCAGGTTTTTTTTTTCTTTTTTATTCCCTATAGTTACTTCAGTCTAATATGCGCAAAAATCTATTACCAAAAAAAAAAAATTGGGCCCTTATGTTAATCTTGAGCATTGGAAATATATAGCAATTAATCATTTAACGATGTTGTCGGGTTCTTTGTATTTTTTTTTTTATTTTAATTTTTTTAAAAATAAATAATTAATACAATTTTAAATAAAATTTTAGTTTATATTGTCAACTTTAATGGAATCATTGGATTGGCATCTTATTTGAATCATAAATTTAAAATCCAAGGAAAAAAGAAGGCATTTCCGAACGAATTAGAAATGTTGTTTATTTTGATTTTCTTTTTTACAGTTTTCTTTTTTTGTTTTGTTTTCCCGCAATTTATTATTTTACTTTGCGATCGAATCTTAAAAACTTGATCTCACTAAAAAAAAAAAATATCCTTCATTAATAAATAATTGAAACACAAAAAAATGGGGAAAAACACCCACCTTGCGAAAGAAAATAAAAAATAAATAAATAAATAAATCAGAATTAATTTCTAAGAAATGGAAATTGAAATCTATCAAGGTATTTTTTTATTTTTAAAAAACTTTTTATATTTTTTATGATCATTTTCGTGTGTGCATTCACAGTTTTAATTACATAAAAATAAAAATAGACATGTCTTATGAAAAGTAGACATTATGTGTTTTTTAACTAAATGACCATTTTTGTTTGTTTCTAAATTGCGAATGATCATTTGCAAAACTGGCTGCTGCAGATTTACAAAATTTCCCAAATCTTAAAATTGTTTTAGCATTTCTGTAGAATATGTTAATATGGTTGGTATTGTTATTAAGAACTCTGGTTTATATTTTTTTAAATTATTATTGTCTAAAAATATTCCATCGTCAAAAATAAAACCATTGTTAGTTAACTATTTTAGTATTAAAAAAGCAAGTGTTTGTTTTTGTTTTGTTTTTGATTTTTTGTTACTTAATTTCCTAAGAAAAATGTTTTATGAATTTTAATGCACGTTAAATAAATTCCATTTGTCATTCATAACTGTCTACTTTTTAGTACTAGACGTCACTAGTGTCATACTTTGTTGTCGATATTTTTGATCTCATAATGATAAAAATGTTTTGGTAATCCCTTTTAAAACTAAGGGTTTTTTTTTTATAGCTTCTTTAAATAATGTTTACTGTTTTAGTACGACACATGATAAAATTAGATATCTCTATCCTCCTACACACATAAAGTAATAAAGTGCATCGAATCTCAAAAACAGAAGAGTTAAAAAACAAAGCGTGTTTACTTTGCCCTAACCAGCAATATTCGTCTTATTTACAAACATAATATTATTGATTATTTTAGGTTAAATTATTCAACTTCATGTGAGTGAACTTTGTGTACTGTAGTACGTGACTATAATTTACCACAACAAAATTAACTCATAGTACGAAGCTAGGGACAGCTAAATAAATACCCACACTTGCACTCCATCGTATGTCTATTTTATTTCCTTTTGTAAGTGAAGTGTGTTTTGGAAGCGTGAATGTTTCTATTTTTATTCTATTTTATTTTTATTTATTTTCTGACTCGTGATGATTTCATTTATGCAGATGCGAGTCCGGGTACAACAAACAAAGTACCTGGATTTATAATTACGAGAAACTAACGAAAAAACATAAGATAATTATTTTCACTTTTTTTTGTCTCCAACTTGAAAGTATGTAATAAAAAAATCCTTGAGACATGTCAATTTCGGTGATAAATTTAGAAAAAGGTAAGAGTTTTGAATAGAGAAAAAAAAAAGAATCAATAAAAAAAATAATTAAGAAAAAATATAATTATTATATTTTTTCTTAATTATTTTTTTAGTACATATTTTATTAAAAACTAAAAAACTAAAAAAAAAGTGTTTCACATTGAATTGAAATATTGAATGAACCTGAAATATGTCAACATGTTCTCTAATAATATCGAACAAAAATGTAATTTAAATTAAAAAGCAACAAAAAAAGAAAAGTCTATAGAAAAAACTTAACGTGTTTTTACATAAAACATGATAAATGTCCTAAAAAAAAAACAAAACGGGTAAATTGCTCTTTCTTGAGCTTCTTAAGTTGTTAGTAGGTATAATTTTTAGTTACTTACGATTTGATCTTGTCATTTCATTTTTTATCATACATAGACGTTCTGACTGTCATTGCAACTGAGTGACATTCGTTCCCGTGGAATCAACAAAACACCACTTAAACCTCGCTTCTGTCACTTGTCAGTCTAAGGTGGCTTAGAGAATTTTTACAGAAACTAGGCTCACGAAGACAAGCTTCTTTTTTTTTATTCAAGTCCTTTAATTAGCGTAGAGATTATTTTCGTGTGAGTCATTTTTATCGACTTATTTGAATTTTATTTTTAAATCTAAAATTTGAAACTTGGCGTTTCTCTTTTTGCTCCAATTCTTGAGCTTTTTTACGATTTGTCATTGATTTTTGGTTTGTTACATCAAGTTTTAGTCCCATAATCTCTCAATAAGCCAAGTTAACAACGTGATTTTAAAATTTATGCTTCCCTTTCTTATGCATTCATATGACTATTGATCATTTTCTCCTTAAATACATAAAGTATATTATTATTAGTGATTATAAAAAATATAATTGTTTTATTTTTAAACGCATATTCGTTACTTTATTTTCCAACGTCAACAAGGAGTATAAAACTTTGTTTATTTACTTGTTTTTACTTAATCATTTTTTAAAATTAACTTTTGCAAGGTATCCTGTCTTTTTACTTAACTGGAAAGATGTATTTTAAATTATTATTATTACAAAAAAGACGAATAAATTACTAATAATCGGAAAATAATGATCAATCCCCAAAAATTGGGCAGGTGGCTTCTTTTTCTTGCTCACTTACGCTATTTATTGGCATTTGAATTTCAAATACTTGGTTAACTTAATGTGAATTTTATGATCAAGAAATTGCTATAAAATTGATTTTTTTTTATAATCAATCAATTTGTATTTGGATAACACGAAGTGGGGAGTTATTATGTTTACAACGATGATCCAAGAAATTTCTTCATTCGAGTAAAATTAAAATCCTAATGTTCTTTCAGTACTGATTCTGTCTGTCAATCTTCTTACCTACCACACGTCCATCTGATAAATCGAGCTTTAATCTCCCTATAGTACTAACTATATGATTATTATTATTATTATTACTTACTTTACAATACCCAACAGTTGTTTTTTTAGTTGTTGTTGGAAGTACATACGACACCTGTCAGCTGTTGAAGTTCACGACCTAACAAACAGCTGATTAAATTTTGCGACATGATAATCTTTTGACCAACCAACCAGTGTCCTAGTCTTCAAGATATCAGGATTTTTCGAACGGCAATTCGTAAAACAGGAAGTTTCTTTCGGATTATTCTCTGCTTTCAATAATAATCGTTTATCTCCGCTTTCCTTCAGGTGTTTTCACTTAGACCCATAACCTCGTGTGGTATGTACGAAATTTCCCTGTTGAGAGAAAAAATTGTATTCCTCTCTCTCGGTTTTTTGTGGAACCTGTCATAAATCATTTTTTTCGATAGGTTTTTCTAACTGACAATTTCTTTTAGTCTTCTTGTTTTTTTGTTTGTTTTTTTTTTTTTTAGCATTATGTTTCTCGCTGCTTTAACTGGACTTTTTTTTTTTCGCTTGGAATAAAAATTTGCTCCAACTACATTCCCTTGTCAAGAAAGAAAAATAAGTATTTTTAGTAGTCGTCAATTAGTATTAACTTTTTTGGCTATGTTGCTTCTAATTGCCAAATTAAAAAAAAAAAAATTGTTGCACGCTATCAAAACTGAAACCGACTCTGCTGTCAACGACTGGCATTGAGAAGCTCCTCGCCATCTATTTTTCTCTCATTTGAATTTTGTGTTGACAATATTAGCAACTTTCTTTAGTTAAAACGCCACTTTCTTTCTCTCTCTCTCTATTTTCTTCAATATTTATTTTAGGTTTTACATATATTTTTTAATTAAAAGAAGAATCGCAAAATATTTACTCAGCTCAAATTAAAACGAAACACTACTACTACTACTACAATTACTACTTGTCGATGAACATTTGCCAGATACCAGACAAGGCTGTACGTTCTCCTCATCTTCCATAATAATTTTCTACGGGAAAAGAAAAATAAACAAGCAAGCATTTATTTTATAAGTAATAATGCGACTTTAAGCAATAGAAAATAAGACACGTGTCTGATGTGTTAGTTAATTGACAAACAATAACATTTTTTAATTAAAAAAAATCCTTTCCGTTTCTTTTTAAGAGACATGCGTATTTTAAGTAAGTGTAAAACGGAAACAATACAAAAAAAAAATTGGTTTCTTAAATTGCGTTGTTTTCGATGTAATGAAAAATTAGTGGAAATAAAAAGTCTAAGTGTTTTTTTTCCTCTTTCTCGGCCTACAAGTTAGTTTCACTATCTAATAATGTGACTATTGTTCTTTCACACGGAGAAAGGGTCAGACCGAAATATTTCATTTTTGTTTGTTTTTTGACGGATTATGTACGAGTGAATTTGAAAGTCACATGATTTTCTAGGATTTTTCGC